ATATATATATATATATATATATATATATATATATATATATATATATATATATATATATATATATATATATATATATATATATATATATATATATATATATATATATATATATATATATATATATATATATATATATATATATATATATATATATATATATATATATTTATTTATTTATTTATATAATATATATTATATATATATATATATATATATATATATATATATATATATACAGTAATATATATAATATATATATATTTTTTTACGGGAATTAGCCACCCGGGCACAGGTCAAACGACCCACAACGGAGCCTGGGGGGCGAAAAAAAAGAACGGAAAGAAATTGAAAATATAGAAAAAAAGGTTATACTGTATTAATCTACACCACGAAGATGCCGGAAAACCAGCTTTTTAAAGTGAGACAGATTGTAAGAGCATGGAAACACAGAAGAAGGCAGAGCATTCCACAGTTTGGCTGTGTGAGGAAAGAAGGAGGTACTATAACGGGTTATTCTCGTGTGACCGACATCCACAGAGAAATGGTGGGCACCGCGGGCAAGACGTGTGTTACGAACCCACGGCCTTACCGGCGGTACACAGGATGCCAAATCCCCTCAACATTGCCCGTTAAAGTACCTGTAAAAGAGAGAGACTGAAGCAACATTGCGGCGAAGAGAAAGGGGAGAGAGATTGTCGACTAAAGGAGGAGAGTTAATAAGACGAAATGCCTTTGATTCCACCCTATCTAATAGTTGGACAGAAGAAGAGCCACCCCAGATATGAGAGCAGTATTCCAAGTTAGGACGAATGAATCCCTTATATACTTGGAGCAACTGCTCAGGAGTGAAGTAGCTGCGGCATCTGTACAACATTCCCAACTTTCGGGAGGCAGCTTCAGTTATACTAAGGATGTGTGATTTCCAGGACATATTGGAGGAAATGGTGAGGCCTAACATATTTATTTCAGAATTTGGGGGGATGATAGTGTCCTGAAATGTAATTGGTGGGAGATCGTCTACTTTACAAAGTGTAATTGGTAAATATTGAGTTTTGTTACTATTGAACTTTACCAAGTTTGTATCTCCCCATTCAGAGATGCTGCACAGATCCGCGTTGATAGAAGTAATGATATCATTTCTAGAAACAGATCTAGTTTGAGAGTTAGGAGGAAGGGGAAAATGTGAGGAAGAGTGAAGAGTAGAATCATCGGCGTAAGAATGGATAGAATTAGTTGTAGTGTGAAGTAAATCATTGATAAAAAGGAAGGAAGAGAGTTGGTGAAAGAACAGAACCCTGTGGGACGCCACTATTGGTAGAGAAAGAGCGAGAAATCGATCCCTGGACAACAACTGCCATGGATCGATTCTCAAGGAAGCTAGAGATGAGAGAACAAAGTGGGGGAGAGAAACCAAAAGAGGGAAGTTTAGATAGCAAAGACTTGTGCCATACCCTGTCAAATGCTTTGGAGATGTCGAGGGCCACGACAAAAGTTTCCCCATAATCCCTAAGAGAGGATGACCAAAGATGGGTGCAATAGGAGAGCAGATCACCAGTAGATCTTGCCTGGCGAAAGCCATACTGGTGATCCGACAAAAGAGAAAGGCGTTCAAGGTGACGGAGAAAATGGGAGTTCAAGATAGTTTCGAAAATCTTAGAGAGGGATGAAGTTAGGGCAATGGGGCGATAGTTAGAGGGATTAGAATGGTCACCCTTCTTCGGGATGGGCTGAACCAAGGCATGCTTCCAAGAAGAAGGAAAAGTTTTGGTTTTGAGGCAAAGGCGAAAGAGGCGAGCAAGCACAGGGGCCAGGGCTTCAGCACACTCCCTCAGAACACGAGGGGGTATTCCGTCCGGTCCATGCGCCTTACTCACATCCAACCTGGATAACACACCGGCAACCCTGCGAGTGGAGATTATAGGAAAGTGCATAGGTTCAGTAGGAGGTGCAGGGGTAGGAGGGGTAGAGTGGGAATCGTCTAAGGTGGAATTAGAGGAGAATAAGGTGCCAAAGAGGTTGGCTTTCTCAGGGGGAGAGTTGGCTATAGAGTTATTGGGACGGAAGAGGGGAGGAAAAGAAGGCGTGCAGAAGTTGTTACAGATGTTTTTAGTTAAGGACCAGAAGGATTTACTAGAGGAAGAATTAGTCAGGACAGCGGTCTTTCTTTTAATAAAATTCCGCTTGGCCCTACGAAGAATAGCCTTACAACGATTCCTAGAAGTAATGAAAGAGGTGTGGGTAATAGGAGAAGGAGATAGTTTCATAGCTCGATATGCCCTATCTCTCACCCTGCAAGCAAGAGAGCAGGAGCGATCAAACCATGATTGTAATGTGAAAGTTTTGGTGAGATATATATATATATATATATATATATATATATATATATATATATATATATATATATATATATATATATATATATATATATATATATATATATATATATATATATATATATATATATATATATATATATATATATATATATATATATCCTGTACAACAAAGCACCAAGTCAACACACTGCAACAATTCGACTGGAATCTAAGATTAAATTTAGAATAAATATCAAGTGCAAATAAATGTTATTTGAATGTCAAAGTGATCAAATGAATTTCAATATCATTATACACAGCTGCAAGAAATCTATATTTAACTACATCATCAACAACAATAATCCAAAAGTTCTCGGTAACATTCAACAATAATCAATGGCACAATTGTTTCGGTGGTCCGCTGGGTGGCCGCCGGGGAGTACTTTACCTTTACTTCTTCCTGCAATTTATTTCTGGTAATAATACCAGTATAACTTTACTGCGGTTCTAGTGGACGTATTCCACAATTCACAATTTTGTTCAATTGGCAATAAGTCAGTTGAATCCAAGTGGAAATAAAGAACCCAAGTGGCAAATGTTGTTAAGATTAGACCCCAAATTCGTTTTACTGTGAGGCGACTTTTACCCTCAGGCGATAAATATCAATATGATGGAAATAAAAAATTAATTCAACAATATATCAGCAAAATAGACCAACACTGGAAAGCTGTTTATATTTTTTGTCAAATATAAATCGCTGTTGGGACACTAATGCATTAATCTCTCGCCTACAGGTTGTTGGAAATGGCGAGATTGTGGCAGCGACCGATGACAGGAGTAGTGGTGGTGGGTGAGGAGGCCAGAGGGAAGACCATCCTCCTGCATCCTAGTCTCCGCAACGCCCTCCACGCTCTCTACCTCGCCCTCGAAGACCTAGACCTCCACACTCAACCTTGGAAAAATATTTCTCTCGTGAAGAGTGCGGGGAAGGGAGGTCAGTATACTGTACCGTCTTTTTGAGGACAACTTGTAATCAGGTGAGTTACCTCTTGAGACGAATGAGAAGATGAAACCTTGTTATTGAAGTAACGCTTTGAGAGAAAATAAATACTCTTATACAATTCGGTACTCCTCCAGCAGGAGGTCGGCGTAGAGGCGTGAGCGTGTACAAGAGGTGCATGTACTGTAGAAGAGGCGATGCTGGGGTCCGTCTCTTCCACCGGTGGAACAGCAATGCTTCCATCTACGAGCTCCCTCACGACCTTCTCGTGCACAGTGAGTAGCCTAGGTGGGAAAAGGAACAATTGTTAAAAAAATACACAAACAACTTCGATGTCGGGAATATGTCATGGCCAACCATGTCACTATAACCGAGCACGAGGGTGAACCACGCACTGTAGTGTTCAAACGATAGGACTGACTGCTGTGTGGGGGGTCTGGGATACCTTCAAGGCTTATTTTACCCAATTCTAAATACAAAAAAATGTCCTATTTCTTCAGACAAACTTGAGGACTTAATGGGCTATAAGATGAAGATCCTGACGATGAGGTTCTTCCCATATGTGGACTACGAGAAGGACACGGAGGAGCCAGGTACCACCGTCACCCTCAAGGACTCTCTTAGCTCCAGGATGCTCGACATCTTATCTGCATCACTCAACTTTACGTAAGAAATCATCAATGTCTTAATGGTGCGAATGATTCTTAACTGTAAGACCCATAAAAAAACACAACCGTCTGTTCACGTTTTAGGAGTTTTCGTAGCCTATATCTTCCTGTTGTTACATTGTTAATCTAACTTACCGCAGTGAGAATTAGTTTTCTACTTCTTATTTATTATTCACAACACTGACAGATACGAGATCCGTGAGCAGCGGGAAAACGTGTGGGGTCTGGTGCAGGAGAATGGCTCCTTCAGCGGCCTGGTGGGGAACTTGGAGAGGGAGGAGACCGACTGTTCCACCTTAATGGGTCCTTCCCCTAAGCGCATCAAAGTGATAGGCTTTACTAGAGCGTATCCCTCAGACCAGCTCATTGTGATCTCCCTCAAGCCTACACTCCTGCCTCAGCACCTCGCCATTGTACGCCCGTTTACAGGTATACTTAATGTATTTTTTCCTTCATTGCACTCTATATAATTACTCTCAATGAACTGTTATTTGTAGTGTTATTTCCAATGAAAGTTTACTATAAAACTTCCACTTGTTGATTGTCATTATTGTTTATAAATAACACAAATTTCTAACGTAAGCATTTTACGACGTGTTCTGAAATAATGTACAAGAATCCACTTTAGGCCTTTAGCGATGTGGGTGGACATGTGACTAACCACCACTCCTGCAGGGGATCTGTGGGCGGGGCTGCTGGGGATGGTGGTGATCTGGTGCCTGGTTCTGTGGCTGCTACACAGGGCGTCACGCTGGACCTTCAACTGGCATCCCCTCGGCTTCACTTCTTCTCTTATGTTTGGATGGGGAGCCCTACTGGACACCGTTCCCCCTAATCCCTCCGTCAGCGTCTCCAACAGAGTAGGTGTACAAGTGGATGTGCAGATACTCTTACTTATTTATTATTACTGTTACTACCTGTATTACTGCTACTACCCTTATTATTATTATTATTATTATTATTATTATTATTATTATTATTATTATTATTATTAACGCAGGTGTTGATAGGGTGGTGGTTGATCTTCTCTCTGGTGATCAGCGCAGCGTATAAATCTTCACTGATCGCTCACCTATCAGTGCAGGGGAGAACCAAGCCCTTAGAGAACATGAGGCAGCTGGTGGAGGAGGAAGGGTGGCAGTGGAGTATTGAAAGTTGGCTCTTGTCCGGGGTGCCCCTCGAGTACTTCTCCCAACACACTGACCCCGTCGTTAAGAAGCTCTATGGCAAGATGCAGGTGTGTGTGTGTACGGTTTTTATTGTCCATTTTGTATGTGTTTTTCTGGGTAAATAAACTGTTTTGTCACTTAAAGGTGTAGACTGATGGTGGTAAACACTATGTATCTCAGTCTTTCCCTCTACGTGACCCTGTGTAGCGGTTGAACGTGGAGGAGGCGCTGCAGAAGGTGATGGGTGGAAAGTTTGGTCACATCATCTTCAGGAACTACATGAACGTGATCCTCGCCGCCCATCACACCGACGCCCGCGGCCACACGCCCTTCTACGTGGGTAAGGAGGGGCTCTCCATCTTCGCCTCCTTCGGTTGGGGATTTAGGTGAGTGTCGGTGATCTTGTGCTTAATTTTATTAATTTTATTTTTTACCAATATCCCTTCGGTATTATTTATCTTCCCGGGAATATAAAGATACATTTGTCATAAAGGAAATTAATGTGCTTGAAATTTAACGGGATTGTCTTCCGGTCTGTGTTAAATATTTGGTTTCTGCTTTATAACTTGACCTTTTTGGGGTTTTAATTACGTTATATATATAGAGGAGTTTGCTGAAAGAAGAACCGGTAATCTTTCCCTTGAGATTTGCCAGATAAGTCAGAGAATTGTATCATAATTTTATTGATAACGAAAGTAATTACTATTCCACCATAAGCGTTTGAAGACTTTAGCAATTGAAGTGTATTAATACATATCCTCATCACATCTTACCGCAGCACACACAAATGCCACTTCCAGCAGTACGACACTCAGCTCTCCTCACTCCAGCCGCTCTGTGAAACGATTGCACAGTATAGTTGTTAATATTTCTGTAAAAACATAAAACCTTTAATTCTCCTCCTGATTCTATTATCTTTATATTTTCATGAACAGTTAACTCGTGCTGACTGTCAAATGTCCTTTATATTTTTCAAAATTGTTATATAATAGTTTGGAGAGCTTAGCCAAAACATGTACAGTATATTATTGTTGGTTTTGGTAAAGCTACTTTGTATAATTCCTGAAAAGCCACAATATAGGGAGTGACTTGCAATATAAAACGGGGAGTGACTTGCAATGTAAAACGGGGAGTGACTTGCAATGTAAAACGGGGAGTGACTTGCAATGTAAAACGGGGAGTGACTTGCAATGTAAAACGGGGAGTGACTTGCAATGTAAAACGGGGAGTGACTTGCAATGTAAAACGGGGAGTGACTTGCAATGTAAAACGGGGAGCGACTTGCAATGTAAAACGGGGAGCGACTTGCAATGTAAAGCTGGGGAGCGACTTGCAATGTAAAGCTGGGGAGCGACTTGCAATGTAAAACGGGGAGTGACTCTGTAAAACGGGAGTGACTTGCAATGTAAAACGGGAGTGACTTGCTATGTAAACGGGGAGTGGCAATGTAAAACGGGAGTGACTTGCAGTAAACGGGGAGTGACTTGCAATAAACGGGGAGTGACTTGCAATGTAAACGGGGAATGACTTGCAATGTAAAACGGGGAGTGACTTGCAATGTAAAACGGGGAGTGACTTGCAATGTAAAACAGGGGAGTGACTTGCAATGTAAAACGGGAGTGACTTGCAATGTAAAACGGGGAGGACTGCAATGTAAAAACGGGGAGTGACTTGCAAGTAAAACGGGGAGTGACTTGCAATGTAAAACGGGGAGTGACTTGCAATGTAAACGGGGAGTGACTTGCAATGTAAAACGGGGAGTGACTTGCAATGTAAAAACGGGAGGAGCAATGTAAAACGGGGAGTGACTTGCAATGTAAAACGGGGAGTGATCAATGTAAACGGGGAGTGACTTGCAATGTAAAACGGGAGTGACTTGCAATGTAAAACGGGGAGTGACTTGCAATAAAACGGGGAGTGACTTGCAATGTAAAACGGGGAGTGACTTGCAATGTAAAAACGGGGAGTGACTTGCAATGTAAAACGGGAGTGACTTGCAATGTAAAACGGGGAGCGACTTGCAATGTAAAGCTGGGGGCGACTTGCAATGTAAAGCTGGGGAGCGACTTGCAATGTAAAGCTGGGAGCGACTTGCAATGTAAAACGGGGAGTGACTTGCAATGTAAAACGGGGAGTGACTTGCAATGTAAAACGGGGAGTGACTTGCAATGTAAAACGGGGAGTGACTTGCAATGTAAAACGGGGAGCGACTTGCAATGTAAAACGGGGAGCGACTTGCAATGTAAAGCTGGGGAGCGACTTGCAATGTAAAGCTGGGGAGCGACTTGCAATGTAAAACAATGAAAGAAGAAACTTTAAGAAAAGAGAAACGAAGAGGAAGGAAAATCACATTACCTTTATATCTTCTCGCGTTTTTAAATTTAGTACGGCTATTTTTCACTCCGTCTAAACTAAATAATGTGTTCGAGCACCGAGGTTGCATATATTGCTCCATTGTTCTTCTTTTATACCAGGGAAAGAATTATTTCAACGAAAACCGGTAACAAATCTCTGCAATTGAAAAATCCCTAGAATACGAAGTTGGAACGATATTGTCTTCGGAAAGTTAATCTAACTTCCTCAAACTTTATTTTTGACCAAATCTAATTGAATAAGACTTATTTCTTTAAACTCGTTCTTTTGTCTCGTGTAGTGTAGGTGATAGTATAGACGCCTGTGTTGAATAAATGACACGAACATTGTACTGTATTAGGCTTTGTCCGTTTACTATTTTTTTTAACTACTCTTCTTGCTTGTTGTTCTATACTTCATGGGGGGGAAAGGGCAGTGATATTCCTTAGTTTTTTTTTAGTTCGTATGTTAAATCCAAAACAACGATAATGAGATTCTGAGAGGAGTATTTGTGTGACGTTGGGTAGTGGTGGTGGAGCAGCGAGTCGACATCCCTCATTGATTGGCTGGTCGTCCCGTTACATGTCATGTGATATAATTATGCAGTCATGCACGACTCTATTAATATATCGTGTTACTGACGACATTACTCGCTGTTCACCAATTATTTAGTTTTTGGTCGATGTCGGTAGTGTTCATAATTTTTTAAACGTCGCTCTAAATTTGTTGTTGTTGATTTTTTAAAAGTTAAATTCACATGCTAAAAAAAAAGAAATATCAATTTGAGGGTGGCAACATTGTGAACTTGGAGTGGTCTCTGGTATAACGGATCACAGAAAGATTAGCTCCAAAGAATATTTCTCCATAATATCCACCACAGTAAAGCTATAATCATTGGTTGAAATAAGCTGAGGGGGGTTAATCTTCAAGTGATCAGTACACTTAAAGGACTAATCAGATATTATCAGTGGAAGTACAATACCGTGTTTTGTTTTATTAACGTACCCTAACACCACCTCTACAGGATGGGGGCGCCGTTTCAGCCCAGCTTCAAGAATGTCATGTTGAGGGTGATTGAGTCCGGAATGATAGAGAAGTGGATGGAGGAGGTAATAAGCAACAGGGTGAAGGAGATGAGAAAGAAATCTGGGATGAAAGAAAACTACGCACAGGTAACTAAAACTCACACAGTAGAGATACTGACCTGAATCAAACACGCTTTGACCTGTGTTAATCTGACCCCTGGCATTTTGACCTTACGGGTTTGCATGTAATTACAATGGATGACCTCACCTGTACAAAGTCTGATGACAATATCTCGCACTGTTTCCTTTTGTGTGTGTTCTTGACAGTGTGCCCTGAGACATCGAATACAGTAATTAATGTTGACAGTTACCAAATACCTGTTAAATCCACAGCAGGTGAGCGAGGCGCAGGTGGTGCTGGGGTTAAGCCACCTTCAGGGGCCCTTCTATCTGCTGATGCTGGGGTGGTGCCTTGCCTCCTTCACCCTACTGGGGGAGCATTTGGTCTACTCTCGCTCTACCACTCAATGATGTCGGGGAGTACCTTGTCCACGCCCTGTTGGGGGAGTACCTGGTCCACACTGCTGGGGAGTACCTGGTCCACACTGCTGGGGGAGTACCCTACCTGGTCAGCTACATCTCTGCTATCTTCGGTGTTGTAAATTTAGAAAATATAAGCTTCAACCGACTAAGTTTAGAGATCGCCATCTTTCATTGTTGTCAAATTAGAAAACCTTCCGCTTCAGTATAAGTAAAAAACATGAAAGTTCTTTGTTGTGAACTGAAAAAGTCCAAACTTCGGTGTGTTCAACTCGTAAAAGGTCTAAGACTTATCCGTACATATAATTCTAAAGTGTCAAAGCTTCAGTTGTCAGCATAGTAAATACCAAAGCTTCAATACTGTAAAGTGTAAACTCTGAAAACACAGAAGCTCTATGTATGGTAAACCCGGCAGACATCAAAGTTCCAATAATATAAACTTTGGAAACCTCGAAAACACTAGAATATGTATCATAAACTAAGAAAAAAGTATTAAATGTACAAATGACCCAAGATATAAATTGAGAACTTTTTACCTTGTATTTTATCACATTATTTTAAAGTACCATACTGTTAAAATAATGTCTCGGTTATTTGCACCTTAAGAGTCAATATCGTAAATTTATAACTCCTAAAATATTCAGTGTTGGCCATAAGGTTTGATGGCTTCTTTGAGCTGTTCTTGGTTGAGTAAAGCCTTATAATATTTGCCGCCGTTTGTATTATTTGTGTACAGTTGAACCAATGTGAAATTTCAAGTTGGTTTTGCTGAATAGAATAAGTAAATTTAGTGTCATTTTTGCGTCATTATCAGTGTAGTAATCTTCGTTATTACAGTATCATGAGAAATTCGAGTTTGTCTGTACTAACATTATCAATATTGTGAAAGTTGTCATTGTCGCAAGTATTAATCTTTGTTTACCAGTAAGCTAGTGTTGCATGCAGATATTTGTTTTATCTTCCTGTCGTCTCGTATCTTAATGTTCTACGTGATATTTATGATTTATTGATGAGCATTATATTCTAGTTTGAGTGTAATATTGCTGCATAGTTCACGTACAGTTCAGTTAATTGCTTATTGATGTATTGTACTATTACGTGTTTTAAAGATAGTTTTCTATTATTGTTGTTAATAAAGAAAATGTTTTTGAGGGTATACTTGTGTGTTTCTCAGCCTCTGACCCGGTGTGGCAAGGTGTGATTGCTGTCGTGCTGAAATTCCCTGGATTTACCTAACTTAACATTACCTGACTATTCTTGTATTCTGGTGGGAAATATCGGCATTCCGGAGGTCTCTAAAAACATTATGAATTAAGTGCACAAAAGCCCAGTACACACGGCGCGCCATACTAGTGTTGTGGTTTTGGCCCCCCCCCCCTTGTTGATAATATGCACACAGGATATCACAGACCGTTGTATACACGATCTGAGCTCCCTAGTTAGGTCACATCTCATAGACTGATCTGTTCAATTACATTGGATTCGAAGTAAAATGAAAAACATCTTAATTTAGCCGTTCATTTTCTGTATACATGATTAGGATAACTCATTACTCAGTGTTGAATATTTTTGTCGACATATTTCAGGAAATGTACGTACTAAATAAAGGATTAAATACGGACAATAACTTTACTAGGATGGGAAGTCTGTCAAAACAAAATGGCACTAAAAAAGAAAAAAAATATTATAGTTTCACCAGCTGTAGTTATCCTCCTAGCCATTAACCTGTTTGCTGATCGTCTTGGTATATACAGTTCTCCAAAACAATATAAGAAGCACAATTTTTGTCTAGCTACCATCCTAGCTACCATCGAGATTCCTATTTTATCAAACAAAGAAATATCACGTCAATTATAATCTTGCAAAATAAACCAACAACTTGCTTAACCTACATAAAGTTATTATTGGTCAGATCTTGAAACCTAAGCAGATCTCTAGCCAATTGGCACAAATCCTTGATCAATACCAGCCAATCATAAGCTGGGAAAAGGAGTACTGTAACGATGTGATTATCTGGACCTGCGTGTGTTGTTCCATAACATAAAGGTTCAGGAGGGCCATTGTATTTTGACTACAGAGCGTCTTTGTTGTAATTCTGAAAAAAAAGTGTATAATTAGAACTGAATTGAGATACAAAATACTTATTCAAAGCTTAAATACATGGGATACAAGGATTCAATGTTTGAACCGCTAATTATAGAAATGTTGCAGTGTGTGACGTCATCTGAATACACCACACAGTATTGCCATTACCTGGGTGTAACCAACGATGACGTCAGTGGAGCGGCATGAGGCGTGGGTGAGGAGAGTCCTGGCGTGCAAGGCGGCCTGGGCGCAGGTGAGGTGGGCGGCCTCGCTGGGATAACAAGGCGTCACTCTTAGGTACACATACAACTCATCCGGACACAGACCCTTATTACGCTCAACCTGGAGTGGGGAGAGATGCGAGGGTTAGGGGAGATCAAGTCTATTGGGTGTTGGGGTGAGGAGATTCGTACACCCTAATCTAATATCATCCTAGGATTAGTCTAGTCATTATCCTAGCACCAGGACGGCGGGGATGATAGCTAACAGAGGACTCACCATAGACTTGACCATAGGGACGAGAGAGTACTTGAAGAAGGGCCACTCGCTGTAACTCTCCACTTTTGACCCGTCCACGCTGGTCACCACCTCCTTGGCCAGCTTGTGGAAGTCCTTGTGGCTCTTGAAGGGTGATGACTTCTTCTTCTGCTGGAAAAACTCCTCCAAACTCCATTCCTGACGAAGGTACAGAAGAGGAGGTAAGATAATGACGTGTGTTTACGGAATCGATTTCTGGTCTGCATTGAATAGTTAATTAGTTTATGCCCATTTTCTTTGAGGTTTTATTAAAAATTTTGATGAAAGGTTAGACAATTTCTGGGATAAAACTCGTTTATCACCATTGAAGTAGCTATGGTTCCCTCCTAGTTATTAAGAGACCAAGACAATACCTGGTTCCTCCAAGCATTAGATGCGAAGTAGATTGGTGTTGCTAGACCGTAGTTGGGCCAATCGACGCTCTTCTTCTTCTTCTTGAGGCTGGGTAGCTTGGTGACGGTGGTGTTGGGAAGGGCCTGGTGGGGGAGGGGCCACATAGGGAGACCGTGGGTGTACCAGTGATATTTGGAGCTGGTAAGAGCCTCCACCTCGTTCACTGCCCAGTAGGGATCTGCCAGCACATCCTGTTGGGGTGGAGGGTGATGCTGGTATTAAGGGATGTGGGGGTGTGTGTGTGTGTGTTTTCATAGTCGTGGAATTATCGTTGTTTTTTATACAGGAAAACAAGGCAATATTTTACTTCAGTGCTCCGTCAATTACCTGTACCCACCTTGGCTTCACCTGAATGCCACCTGGCCACGTCATCAAAGCCATCACGGTGGAGAAGGAAGATGGCAAATTGTTTGAGCTTTTCGTCTAAGTCAATATGCGGCGCAGCCTTGACACACATCGCGCGCAACACCGCTTCCCTCACTGCGCTGCGCCGTGACGGGTCTGAGAAGCTGAGAGAGAGAGAGAGAGAGAGAGAGAGAGAGAGAGATAGAGATATATTTATTCAGTAAAATCGTCATACACATTTATTATTAGTTCAATACAGACAAAATTTAACAGGAACTAGAAAAAAAAAATCATTAATACCCCCCCCCCCAAAAAAAAATACCATTAACACAACATTAGTCAAAGGAGGACCTTGACATCTTGAGATAAAAAACACGACACTCGAGGTCTTACTTGATGTCCTTACAGTCTGTAGAAGGATTGAGGTTCTTGATGGTGTCCCGAACGAAGCACCATCCTACCTGTGTCCCCAGCACCGCCAGCAGGGCCACCGTCATCCTCGCCTGCTGCCCATACATCCCCTTGGTAACTTCTGTTGAATAGAGGGATTAGAGACGTCAGTGTTGGGAGTTGTGATGGTACCTCCTCCACAAATGGTACCTCCCCAACAGACGGTACCTCCCCAGTAGATGGTACCTCCCCCAATACCTCCCCAACAGCTGGCAACACTCTCAGCTGGTGCTCCATAGTGTTAATGCTCCATAAACAAGGCAAAGGAGTTTGGTGGGAGTTGGGAGGTAATTCGATACTCACTCTTTCAGGCAACGACAGAAATAGAATTCGGTGATAATTTGCATAAGAAAAGAGAGAAAGGAGAAGGAGGAAGGGAGAGGTGAAGAGAATGGGGGAGGAGGAGGAGGGAGGATAAAGGATGGAGAGGGTGGGGGGGTTGAGAGGGGGAGGTGAGGATGAGGGTAGAAGAAGCAGAGAGGGAGGTGAAGGGAGAGGAGTGGGGGGGGGAGGAGTATACATAGGTGTAAATATGTCTTTTCACCTAAACAATCACTAAATACATATCAACAGAAACAGCTGATACAAGTAAACAAACGTGACATCATAATCATCATCATGACCATCTCCACGCACAGCTCAGGAACAGAATGACTTTTTATCAAGTTGTCAGTATTTCACGACTAGCAGGGCGAGAACATTTTATCAATTTTATCGCTGCTAAAACTGTTTTTATAATGGGTTATGTATCGACGTGGAGGAAAATTTACGAGAGGGGCTGAGTGTTAAAAATGAGCACCTTACTCTCACAGTTACCACACGTCGAAATTCTTAAAGTGAGGTCGTAGCATTAACACGTGTGGTTGGTCAGTAATATATTTCCCCAAAACACGATAAAAAAAAATATTCCCTTTAAAACCCAAATATTTCTTCCAGAACAGATGTAAATAATACCCCCAAAACTCGTACAATATTTCTTAAAAATTACGCATTATAATAATTACATGAACATATAATATTTACATACACACGCGACACTTACATTCACACTTTTAACACTTTCCTACACGCACTTACAACAAATAAACACACTTAAAAGGTAAAAAAAAAATGACCCTTTAAAGCAATATACTGTAGTGTTAGATTTAGCCACACACAGGAAATCAAACTTGCTTAGAATGAAGGAGGATGTCCAACAGTTATCGACCCTATCAGAATCACGAAACACTCTTATCTCTTGTCCACAAACCTCTCGAGATAACAGTGTGTCACTTACCAGGCCAAAGGTATACGCTAGGATGTGTTCACTGCTTGATAGTCGTCGCTGGAGTGTGTTCGGTGATGGGGCACAGCAGGACCAAGAGGTGACAGATGGTCTAGCGAGGAACGGGTGACATACACAGATCAACCACTCACAATACGTCTTACATTAATCAACCACTCACAACACATCTTACATTAAGCAGCCACTCATAACTCGTCTTACATTACCAGGATAAAAAAAAAAGTCGACCATTCACCACTAAGCACAAGCATCCTCACCCAAGTTCAACTCGGTGATGTACAAGTCGTAGTGTTTGTTTGTTATTTAATCTTTTATAGAATAAGTTGTTTGAGATGAATGTTTAAAATTAAGAGAGATGATCAGGTGAAGGGACGGTAGTAGGCTGTGACAGGTGTGTGTGTGTGTGTGACAGGTGTGTGATGTGTGACCACCAAGACGCACTTCCCCAGCAGGTGTGGAGTTTGATAAGTGTTGCATCATCCACAGTGACGTCTTCTTTGACACATACACCGGATACATTAGTGTATCCGGTGACCACTGGGGTGTGTGTGTGTGTGTGTGTGTGTCCGGTAATGCATGTGTGTATATCTATAAAAGCTTTTACAGGAATTCATCTTTTGTTTATTACTGTGTGGATGTGGGTGGGTGAAGGGTTGGTAGGTGAGTATGTGGAAGGTAGAGAAGTGGGTATAGATGGGGGTACTGGTGGGTGGGTGGGTGGGTACTTTTGACACATGAGGATGCATCTCTGCCCCCGACCTAGTGACAGCTGGTGGTGGGTGAGAGGTTTCTGGACGAGAGAGACAGACAGACGGACAGAGACAGACAGACAGACGGACAGACGGACAGAGACAGACAGACGGACGGACAGAGACAGACTGACTTCAGGATAAGGGGTAGGGCTTGTAAATAAAATAAATGAAGATGTCACTTAAAATAATCCACATAATAATTCTCTCGATTATCTCCTAAATGATCTTATCAAAGTACCACCCATCGCATCCATTCCTTCTCCACCCCTCCTTCTCCCCCCTTCTCCCTCACGCTCCTACCCACACTCACGACCTCATTATACCCTCCCCACCTCCCCCCTCCTCCCTTCCTCCTCCTCGCCCCAACCATCACCAAGATTACATTCAAATGTAATGTCCTTTTCCTCCCATTTCTTTCCAAGGTAAAAACTGAAGAACAAAAGGGTGCAGCGACGTTTAAAAATCCTAGTGTATCTCTCTCTCTCTCTCTCTCTCTCTCTCTCTCTCTCTCTCTCTCTTCTTTCGTAAAAACAAAAAAAGACCAAAACAAAAGGTGGGAGAACATCCGGGGTTGAATTAGCGTCGACTTTAACTCTCCATTGTGGCTTCAGGTGGTGGCGTCATGATGGTGTTGTTACCTGAAGGACGAGGCGCTGGCGTACCTAAAGGCCGGTGTTAGAACCCTCGCTATTTCTTCTCTTTTGATGTTACGAAAGAAATTTTTGGTATTTCTTTTCTCTCTCTCTCTTTCAGTTTCTTGTTCCTACACGTTTTAAAGAATGATTTATTTATTTTTACTCACCAGTTGTGTTAAATGAGTGTTATTTACATTACCGAACGACAGGATTTTCTTTTATCACCCGAAGATCCCCCCCCCCCACCCTTACAGTTCATTTCACTTTAAACCACCCATAACACTATTTAGGGGACGAGGTGAGTGTAAAGTTATTTAATCTTCAGGTGAAATAAACTAGGGACAGGTACTAGAACATTATATACGTGTACAGGAATATTTCACAGTAACTGCAACACAACGATGCTCATTTACCGTGCCGCCTCCTGCAGGTGTGATCCCCGGAGCCTCGTACACAATACACTTCCTCTGTACCTTGTTTATTGAAGATGATGTAATATAAACAACATGAGGCCCTGTACGCTTGCTTGGGAGTATCACTTACGGTTTTATGATATTCACAGGAAAAGAAGGAAACATTCTCCCAGGTAATTCAATTTCCCGTGTACAAGGAAATAGTAAGCATTTTATAGGTCATCAGGTAGCAATCAGGGCAAGACAACACAGGTGAAGTATTGCCGAACACCTGTGTTAAGCTGTTCAGGTGTGTGAAATAGTGAGCAATTGTGAGGCAGGTGGGGAGGCCCGGCCCAGGTGATTATGTGGCCATAACCTCCCCACCTCTTGTTTACGGCCACCCTCCTGCTGGTGCTCCTGACGATGTAGGTCTTCCCGGTGGTGCTTGTGTTGCTGTTACTTCTGGGGACTTAACGAAATGAGAAGAGGATTAGATACAAATAAAACCCCCAAGTAACTTTACATAACACGTAAATAACAAATGACAACGTGAAGTCTTGGCCACCTGGAGAGAGTCTTATTACTGCGACAAACCACGGGTTATGTGCTAACTCTACCGCGTAATTTTGGAACGTTCAAGGGTTTTTTCTTCAGGATGTCTCTTAAGACTTTATAAAGCTAATTTTAGTTTATGGCATACAACGATTACTATTAGTAGTAGTAGTAGTAGTAGTCAAGGAGAAGGTGAGACAATATTTGTAATAAGTTTAGTCAAATTCCTGAATCATTTTGAGATGTTTTTGTGGATCGTCTTAAAATATTTTCTATGAGACATCAGAAATTTTTCCTCCATTGTATAAAATGTCTCAAAAACTGGAGAGATCACTGAGAGATTTAACCTTTCACTTATCTATGAGGAACGGTCTCTTCGTATCTCGCTGGACTCACAAAAGAAAATATAGAGAACTTCTTTTGAGATAATTTCGGGAAGAAACCGAACTTCTAAAGAGATATTTATAAGACATTTTGTTCCACTCGTAAGAAATTAAACATCTGGAGAGAGACTTGAGAGATATTATCCATCATTCATAAAAAATAACCTGAACAGAGAGACGTTAAAACATTATCGTCCACCAGAGACCCGGGCTGTATGGCCGTGTGTGGGTGGGGGAGGGAAAAGGGGTCAAGTCAACATCTTCAGGAGAGGGAACTTGAGGACTCCCTTGGCTGCGTCCTGGCAAGTCTCCAGCTCCTACAAATACCAACCCACCACCACCACCACGTAGGATTCTCTTAGAGTCCTACGCTAATGGCATATACCTTGAACTGTCTGTGTGTGGGGGAGGGGGAGACGGCAGAGGATGAGTTACATAGCTTAGGATATAGAATTTTTTGGGGATTAGGGGAAGATTAACTCTCCCCTCCCCTCCCCTTCCCTCCTTCTCTCCCTTCCTCCCCTCCCCCCTGTCGTTCTCTCCCCCATACCCCCTTCACCACTCCACTCCCCTCCCCCACTCCCCTCCCGTCCTTCCCCTCCCCTCCTTCCCCCACTCCTTCTCCCCTCTTTTAAGCTAACTTTACCTGTTGATTGAATACTTTAACGCTACCTGTGGGGTGTTAGGTCAGGTTATTATACTATGTTTATTAAGCTATGACTAGGCTAGGTAGGTTAGGTTTGATCAGGATTGGTTTGGTTCCATTACTTTAGACGAGGCTTGGCTATGTTATTTAGACCTGCTTTTTACATATAACTTACAAAGCCCAGGATGGTGGATTCCCAGGACTCATTAGCGTTTTCCTCCTAAATGAAGGAGTGAGAAAGACACCAACTTGCCTACAACACAAAGATAGATTTACAGAAGTTCCTACGTTAAATTTTTTCTCTTAAGTTGTGAGAACGTATCTAAAAGATTTACTGAATAACGAGAAGATTAGACTCCTTTACGTTACCTGGGGTATTATTATTATTATTATTATTAGTATTATTATTATTATTAGTATTATTATTATTATTATTATTATTATTATTGAGGCATTAACTTAGCCTACAGTCTTAATATTAAAGATAATTATAACTTAAAAATTAATCTTAAAAATATCAATGAATTAATGATTTAATTATCTACAGCATATCTTCACACCTGTCTCAAGTCACCACCTGTACCTGTGTGTAATATAATGTACCTTACCTGTAATATATATACTGTGAGTAAAAATCTTGTATCCGAAAGTGACTGTATCTTGTTAGGTTAGGTGAGTTATCCTGGTTGATAATGGACTGTCCTTGCTAAATGTCATGATATTTTTTTGTTGGTGTTCTTGTTGTCATCAGCGAAGTTTTAATGTATTTTAGGTGCGCCGTGAGGTCTGTTGCTCGCTGGTTGTCTCTCTCTCTCTCTCTCTCTCTCTCTCTCTCTCTCTCTCTCTCTCTCTCTCTCTCTCTCTCTCTCTCTCTGTTATTTCATCCTCCCCCATCTGTCTCCAAGCGACACTCCCCACCCCTCCCCCTCACAACACCCCATCGCTCCCCATCACCCACGTAACACAGTACCCAGGGCCGTCAGCAATCAGTTGACTTCCCAGCAACACTCAGAATCTTGGTGTGGAGTCCTTGTGCTTCTGAGTGTACCACAGGGAGTAACACACAGCTCATGCGTCACTCTTCTCGCCTGTGTAACCTGAGTACACGGGTTCGACTGTTGTTTTTTTGTTTTGTTTTTTGCTTTTGCGTGATGTACTCCGCGTAGGTGGTGAAGTGATGGTTGTGTTTGAGTCATTCTGAAAACGTTGGTTGGAGTCCTTCTATAGTACAGATGGTGAATCAGTGATCGTATATGTGTGTGTAATATTGAGTACACGGGTTCGAATTTGTGTTCTTTTGTATAAATAAGCGAATCGATTGAAAATTAGACACCCTATCTTATTTCACCTGAAGATTAATCATCCTAATCTAACCTAACCCTGAACTTAACCTAACCTAATCTAACCTAACCCTCAACTTAACCTAACCTAACCTAATCTAACCTAACCCTGAACTTAACCTAATCTAACCTAACCCTGAACTTAACCTAACCTGATCTAACCTAACCCTGAACTTAACCTAATCCAACCTAACCCTGAACTTAACCTAACCTAACCTGATCTAAACCTAACCCTGAACTTAACCTAACCTAACCCTGAACTTAACCAAATCCCCCCCAAGGTATCATTAGGGTTCGTAAATAATCCTCAGGTGAAAGAAACTAACGTGACTAATCTTCAAGGTATCCACGTAATCTAAAAGACAATAAGCGAAACAATAATTACCTCTATGATAACTTTGAGTACAGATGTTGGAATCTCTTCATCAGGTGT